CGGCATTCTTACGACGTGTCCAGCCCACCGTAGTCGCCCAATTTTTGCAAAGTGGACGATGGATTGTTCTCCCAGCAGCTGGTGCAATTCATGGTTCATTCGCCTCTTCCACGTTCCGTCTTCCATCTGCACCGTAGATGGTACGCAACACCTTCCGTTCGAAAACACTAAGGGCGCGTTGGTCCTCCACGAGCATAGTCCAGCTCTCGTGGCCGTAGAGGACCACCGGTCTAATCAGCGTCTTTTAGACAGTCAACTTCGTGCGGCGGCGAATTTTATTCGACCGGAGCGTCCTCGGGAGTCCAAGTAGGCACGATTCCCTGCCATAATGCGTCTTTGAATGTCTCTGCTGGTATCATTTTCGGCGGTCACCAGTGAGCCCAAATACACGAACTCATCGACCACCTCGATTTCGTCACCGTCAATCTGAACTCGGGTGGGAGGCTAACATTGTCTTCCCTAGAACCTCCTCCTTTCATGTATTTTGTCTTTGATCCATCTAGCTTCAGCCTTCAGTCTGATGTACGTTTCCGCCATCATCTCAAAGTTCCGTGCCATAATATCAATGTCATCGGCGAGGCCAAGGAGCTGGATAGTCTTCCTGAATATCGTGCCACTCGTGTCTATCCCAGCTCTTCTGATCACACATTCTAACGCGATGTTGAACAGCAGACACGAAAGTCCATCACCTTGCCGTAACACCCTTCGAGATTCAAAGGGACTCGAGAGTGTCCCCGATACTTGAACAACGCACATCACTCGATCCATCGCGTTAGTGCATAATCTGCCATAGCTGATCTCGATCGATTGTGTCGTATGCGGATTTGAAATCGATGAACAAATGATGTGTGGGCACGTTGTATTCGCGGCATTTCTGCAGAACCTGCCGAATCGCGAAAATTTGGTCCGTGGTAGCGCGGGCACCCATGAATCCCGCCTGGTATTGCCCCACGAACTCTCTTGCAAATGATGACAGACGGCGGCATAGAATTTGGGAGAGTACCTTGTAGGCGGCGCTCAGCAGTGTGATCGCGCGGTAGTTTCAGCAATCCAACTTGTCGCCCTTTTTGTAGATTGGTAGTATTGGTAGTTTTTTTTTTTTTTTATATATCTTTATTAAGGAGACTCTCAGCCGTTGGCTGGCTCGTATCCGAAAAGTTGATCTACACCAGTTGCTTTGTTGTTCTTCAGCCGACCGATCTCCTCCTCAACTTCTTGATAGTACTTCTTTCACCTCTCAATCACCTCACACTCGTTCGTGAGAAGGTTACCGTCCAAGTCCTTGCACATATCGGCTTGCGGAACGTAGCCTTTGCGCGAACTATTTAGCTTCTCATAGAACTTCCGTGTGTCGTTTACGCGGTACAGATTTTTCATCGCCTCGCGATCTCGGTCTTCCTGCTGACGCTTCTTTCTTCGGAAAACCGAGTTCTGTCTGTTCCGCGCTTATCTGTATCGCTCCACATTCAATCTCGTGCGGTGTTGCAGCATCCTCACCCGTGCTGCATTCTTCTCCTCTACTAATAGTTTGCATTCTCCGTCAAACCAGTCATTTATTCGGTCCGGGATTGCAGTACCTAGTGCCACTGCAGCAGTACTACCTATGGCTGAACGGATGTCCCTCCAGCCATCTTCAAGAGAAGCTGCTCTTCCGTGGGTAGTGCAACTTCCAGCTGCTGCGCGTAGTCCTGGGCAACTCCGGCGTCCCGTAGTTGCTCAATGTTGGGTCGCGTCGTTCGACTTCGACGTGTGTTATGCACCGTCTAGAGTTTTGAGCGCATGCATACTGCAACTAGGTACCCAAGTAGCACAATTCTGTCCCAAAAAGTTGCAGCAACTTGTTTATAACTGAAATAAGTCGTATATAAGTTTCCAAGACCAATTTATAACAAGGGTGCTACTAGGGTAGTGGTCCAAATCTATGTTCGCACTGCGGTACGTGCGGACGTTGATAATGTCGGAGAAGAATTTCCCGTCGATTAGAACGTGATCGATTTGGTTTTCTGTGTGTTGGTCAGGTGACCTTCAGGTGGCTTTGTGGATATCCTTCCGAGGGAAAAAGGTACTTCGAACTACCATACCCCGAGAGGTTGCAAAGTTCACGCATCGTTGACCGGTCTATACATTTCCTCCCGTCCTACCTGAGCGTTCATGTCGCCGATGACGATTTTGACGTCCCGTTGCGAACAACCGTACACCTGCTCCAGCTGCGCATAGAACGCTTCTTTCTCGTCGTCGGGCCTCCCTTCGTGTGGGCAGTGCACGTTGATGATACTGTAGTTGAAGAAACGGCCCTTAATCCTCAACTTGCACATCCTCGCGTTGATCGGCTGCCAACCAATCACGCGTTGGCGCATCTTACCCAGCACTACAAAACCGGTTCTCAGCTCTTTGGTGGTGCCACAGCTCTGGTAGACAGTAGCCGCTCGATGCCCGCTTTTCCATACCTTTTGTCCCGTCCAGCAAAGTTCCTGCAGTGCTACGACTTCGAAGTTGCGTGGTTGAAGTTCGTCATAGATTAACCTATCGCAACCCGGGAAGCCGAGCGATTTGCAGTTCCATGTTCCGAGTTTCCAATCGTAGTCCTTATTTCGTCGCGTAGGTCTGTGCCGATTGTTGCGATCCGTATTTCTTTCTTCAGTATTTGCAACTTTGTTTTTTCCAGGGTGGCTTGTTGGGCCTGCCCCAACTCCCTTGTCTCGCCGGGGGACCATCGTGCACAGCTCTGTTTAGAGTCCCACGCTGGCACTAGGACGGTGATCAGCCGCTCCTAACATGGAAAACAGACGCCGTTTTGAGCCGCACTTCCATGATGAACAGACGCTAAGGTTTGGTACGAGTGGAATACCGGTCATAAATGCATTTGGAAACACAAAACAAAAACTATTCTTCAAAAAACTTATCGATTTTCAAAACTGGCAGACCATCTTCAGATAAAACTTGAAAAACCACGACGAAAACATAATATAGGGTATACGTCCCTAACCTCGGTCTAATATGCAGCCATCGATTACGTTTTTAATCATAACTCATCAATGAATTTACCTGCAAACGATATTCTACTGCTAAATGGTATGCTTAGATATGCTTATCATGTCGTTTGCTATCAGAAACCACGAAAAGTTGAAAAACTTACTTTTTTTAAGACAATAACTCACGAGGGAAATGTATGTAATATGGGTCTATTGTCCCCAAATTGGGTCTATTTATGGATGCAACTTCGTCCTATCTTGTTTGATCCTCAAAAAAACGCTCTTGGTAACGTTTTCTGATGTATTTTTTTTTATCACTATCACTGTTAACTTAATGCTCTTCATTCCTCAAAACATTTCTTAGAGAAAATTTTACGAAAACTACATTAAATCACTCAATTTAAAAATTAAAAATTAAAAATTTCGCTTATCGTCTTTTGACCGCAGAATATCTAAATCAGAACATTGTGATGTTCATTATACAGGTTTGGCAGAAAAAATCTCCCTTCCTGTTCGTTCCTTATCATCCAAATGCAAAACAACATTGTTGACGTTACTCTTATTGCTATATGCTGTCAAATGAATTTCATGGGCCATAGTTAGGAACATAGAAAAGAAATGTGTCCCTAAAGTTGGGTCCATGTTTTACTTGTGAAAACGTTGTTAAACAATTAAAATAAACATAAAATATTCAAACAGCAACTGTAAGTTTTACGTCTAGTGTGTATTATCAGGTAATTCCAATCAATAAATGCCATAATCAGGCCATTTGATGATCGTCAGTCAACCTTCCCATCTTAACCTTATAAGTCATGGCGGCTAAAAACTCCGAACATTGTGATATTCTCAACCAGTTTTATTACTTACGAGAGCTGAAAATGTATTGAAATGTTGTGATATAAATTGATTTGTGTGTGGTACACATTTATCAACCATCAGTGATCAATATTTTCCTTATTTTTTGTGTAATATTCCTTAATTAATTATTTATTTGCGTGATAGGCCGAATGAAAGGACTAGACCCACATTACATACCGTAACCCTACGATAAATTTTACAGCAGAATTTTTTTGCGTCCGGTTTGAAGCTGAGCACCCTTATAGCGAATTCGTTTATTATCGGGGTTGGAACCAGTTCCAACCCAGTGCGAAACCGAACTTTTTGTCAGTGCGAACCTCAACCTGAGCTAGGTTTTAAAAACAAACGAGCAAACTGACGTTTGTCAGAAAACAAGCAGACCCAATCTTGATACCCGATCCAGGTTAAAACTGAATAATAAACGAATTCGCTATTAGGTTTTTAATCCATTATTAAAAACTACTAGATTAAATTTTTTGCCGATGAAACATTTTCAAACCTTCTGCATTTTATTTTTGCCTATCTTTCGACGGAAAGAAATACAAGGTTCATGCAAGTTCGATAAACTATTCGTGTTTCAATATCCTGTGCAACAAGCATCGGGCTTGCTTCTCTGCAGCAAACACTGAGAACTATTATCAGCCTGCTACATTTAGTAGATCGTCAGCAGTGTGTCCAAGCAGTGCTGCAAAATCTCGACAATACACGGTGATATTGACAATTCTGCTTTGGTCACTTATTTGAGCTAACAGTCTCATAGTCAAGGCAAACCATGTCAATTGTCAATGACAATGCTGCCAGTGATGAATATGTGTGGATTTTTATATTAACTAAATTTTTAACGAAATTAAATTACTTGAGCAACACAATTACATGGCGCCGTTAAAGTGAACAAGCATCAATAATGTGACACAGAATGTACGAAATTTCACTTTTTGTTTCCATGAGAATCTTTGTTTTGTTGTTGTTTTTTAAGGATCAAGTCTGTCAGTGACTCTGTAACGAATAATTTTATCAATATCGCGCGAAAGTCTGTCAATGACAATGACAAATCTCAGCACTGTGTCCAAGCCAATTCGAAGTGGTATAACTAATAGTGTGAGCAAAGCTTCAGAGAATCATAACCACGAAGGGCGCCGCAAAAGAAAAATCCAAATTCATTCTAATAAGTAGAGCATTTTACAAATTTTATTCAACCATATCTTATCATGTATAATTTGTACAAACAGAAACAAGAATAAGCACTTTTTCATTGCATCGTATCAGCTCAGCTGAGTTTCCTTGCATCTATCAATCTGCATTCAACATTCGCAAATACCGTTTCTTAACTGGTGCCAACGGAACAATTATGTTCACCTACCAATCTATTTTTATTATTTTTAATTGAGTTTCACAGAGATTAGAACCTCTCAATCGCCGTCCTACATTAACTTCCTGTGAATATCGCTTGGTTCCCATCAAACCCGGAAACCACCGTGATTTTGTATTCAACTGAACGGGAGGTAAGATTTCTTTCGATTGATTGGAAAATATTACAAACTACAGTCTAACAAACTAATAGTACAAAAAAAGGTGATTGAAATCATATCACATCTTCCGGCGCCGGGAAGCAACTTCTAATCGACGATGAAATTTTCCAGAGCAACATTCTCCAGCAGCTGGTTGGAGATTCCGATAAACTCGCTGGAAAGCTTTTTCTGCAGCTGCGGTTGCAGAGCTCGCAGCACTTCACCGCCGTTTTCCTTCAGGAACAAGTTGGTTGCTTCGGCTGCAATTAGTTTAGAACAAATTTGGTTGGATTTCTTAAAAACAAATAATAATGTCATACTCAGAATTCGATTGTTGTTGAAGATCTTCGAAACGCTCAATCGTGGCTTCTTGATGGCCAGGTTCAGATCCAGAGTTTCCACGCGCATGTGAGTGCCGGTTGGCTTCTCGTTGAACGATACTCGGCCGCGGACGTCGGCAGTGACGCCATCTGCAAAGGAATCGGTTTTGAAAATGACGATCTTACTTTCAAAATGTTTGAAGATTACCGAAAACAGCATCGAAATCTCCGGCACCGCTGGCCGGAATGATGATCAGCACTCCGCTGGAGGTGTACTTGGCATGGATCACCAGCTTCGGGATGGTCAACCTGGCTTCGAATGGTTTGTCACCGTCCGACGGTCTGAGAATTGTGGAAAAAAAAGGTGTAATTAGTAGGGCGCTGATTGGCGGTTGACGGCAAGTGACAAGCATGGCACTTACTTCATATTCTTGACCGTGAAGTTGCTAGCGCCGTACACTTGCATATTTTTCAAGTTGATCCTGTAGCCTTGCGGTCCTCCAGTCAACTGGAGCGAAAGCTGATCCATGACGAATGGTTCCACGGATGGTAGCTGGAATGTTGAGAATAGAGCGAAAATTAGCTTACAGTTGATAGGAAAAGCACCGTCTTTAATATCGAGCCTCATTCGTTAAGCTTGAATGCTATTGGTCAGTAAATTCATTTTCATGCGAAATGGTTTTTTTTCATTCTATGACCTCTAATGGTGTTAAGTTTCTCTACGTGAAATCTAGTTTATTGGCACAGCATTTGCCTACTAAATCGTTGTTTCATGTTCTACCATCAACAAGGAGGTTATAAATAGAAAATCGGTTTATTAAACAACGGGTAACACTGGGTAAAGTGCAGCCAGCGGCGTTGCCACTATCAATTATACTAATTACTACTGGTTTCCTTGTCCAAACGGTGCTTGTTCAAGGAAGTAAAAATTACCTCATTAGGTTGTATGGTTGCACAGTAAATTATGATTTTCAAATAAACCGCTTACTCATTCGTAAATATATATATTCAATTGTTTGGGCTGATCCACCGGAAGTTCCAAACATAAACCACATTAGTGCGTGCAAAGAGCAGTGATCACACCGCGCACCGGTCAACGAAACCACAATCAGCCTCATTATTATGCTCAATAGGCCCCCCTTGCATGTCACTGCACCGGTTTACTATTCATAGCAACGAGTAGCTAGGCTCCGTTAACCGGCGGCGAAAAATCAAAACAGAAACAAAACCGGCAACGCGCCGTGTGGGCAGGCCTTGGACCTCCAAACACTCGGAATAGCATTGGCAATGAACTTCAGGTAATTTTCGGCTACCCGATATGAGCTTCACACCATTCTGACCGTCACGAGATGCTTTTTTTTCTCGATCGCGCATGAGGTATCAAGCATGAATCATTCGCACCACACCGACCGACCGACCGACCGTGCTCGCGAAGTGGTGATGACCATACCCAATCTGTCTTGATTAGCATGAATTTTGGTTCGAAAATGAGAAAACAACCCGCAAAGAGAGAAGCCTAGTCCAACTGCATTTCCATGTTCACACACAAGCTTGATAACGACCTTGCAAGAGTTGAAAAGCGGTTGGTTATCGATGGACGTGTGCGATGGCTGCTGACCGTGACCTTGTGCCGTTGTTCAGTTGTGCGAGTTCAGTCGGATCTTTAATCGAAACGTCGAACTGGTTGGAAAATTTCCTGCCATTTAATGTCAGTAGAAACAAATGCCGGTTGGATAGCGTCAAACCGGTTTTGGGATTAAAGCTACCGCCAGGGTTGCAAATACTCATTTCAGATAAAAAATATTTTCGGGATTATAAAATCATTAGACATGTTAGATTAGAAGAGGTTGCTAAGTATGTGTTTGTCTATTTCGATTCCTGAGAGTCACCATCAGCGATTTGATCAATAATCACTCACTCAGCGATCATTGACTATCCGAAATCAAATTGTACAGTGTTTGAAACATACTTTGCAACATCTTCCTGCATTTTACAAGCAAAATGATTTCATTATTCCGTAAAACATGCTTTAGGCGAAATGAGTATCTGCAACCTTGGCTACCGCATGTTTTATGGCAAGCGGCAACTGCTTTTCGACGGTTTGTTGTTGCGTAATGTTTGTTGACATCTCCGGCGATTGATCATCGCTAATGGATTGACACAGAGGTGATGAAGAAATTGTTGAAATTTAATGTCACATCGCATGACAAACATTTACTAATTTGACTGATTCTGACAGGAATTTGAAAGGGAACATTTATGAGAAACTCTAGGTCAAACGCTGACCATGCCAGTTGATTTGAAGAACTGGTTCAGTTCTGCTTTTTAAACTAGGTAGTAAACAATCATGGACAAGGAGCTTGATTCCACAGCATCTGGAGGCACGTTTAAACTTGTTAGTTTCATTATATTAGTATCAGTTTTTTTTTATACGAGTCCGTGTATATTATTTTCGACTAAAAAGTGTTCGTTTTTATACTCCTGTAATCTGGTTGACTGTATCCAGCATTTTACCGAAGGTAAAACTCTTCCATTTTCTCATACGAACGCTTTGAGACAGACACAATTGCGTCATCTGCCGCTCAAAGGTAAATGCTTCGAACGAATTTTATAGCAAAGATTACATCCTCAGAAGAAAGGTTTGTGTATTTGCTCATTTTTCTATGCGTTGGTTTCACCTAGAGCTTCCATTTTTCGATGGTTTCCACCATACCGGGATTCGGTAAATATTTATTTGATATCCCGGGAAGTGAATAAAGATAGTAAATTGTTTAAATAATCGTATGTTTAATCTCCTTCGAAGAAAGATTAAAAGGGAGATTTCTTCCAGATTTAAGGACATAGGGGAATTTACGTATTCTCGGCAACCTAAGCATCGACCTTCTTTCTATAGCCTTTTTCTCTATGAAACGCACACATATGCAGTATTGGTTTGTTTACAATCTTTTGCTGCCAGCTGCTCTAACAATTTCAGTCGAAAGAATTGTCAAAAACTGTTTTGAAACGCTTTTACAAAGCTCCAATCTTCTCTAGTGAGAGCGAGTATTGTCGGCAACCAGTTTTTCTTCGGCAACCGTTCCATTTGAACTGCATGTAAATCTACTGTTCTATTATCGGCAACTCGAAATCAGCTACAATTTGTAGTGCGTGTGTTTCATTTTAAGAAAACCCTGCTAGATTGCTTTTTCTCAGTGGTAAAAATATAGTCAAATTGGAGCTGAATCCATAAAGAATCGTTTACATGCATTCAGCGAAGTGTTTTCGTAAGAAAATCCAGTGAAAATAGTGTTTCAATTTGAGTTGCCGAAAATAGTCTGTCATGCCGAAGCCGTCATTTCCCCTATCTACATTTTGAAGACATTTAGAATTCTGTGAAAGCATTTTTTTTCATGCAAACATTTTGAAGACATTTCATGATATGTGAAGTTGTTTCAAGACATGCGGAAACTGAAAAAGATTTGCGGTGGATTTTTTGAAATTTTAACCTTAATCTTCATATTTTTGATAAATAAATGAAGTTTTTAACTTCATATTTTAAGCTACTTCCTGAATATGTTGAAAATAAATAATGTAGCCAAAATTGGATTTTCAGAATAAAACTTGATCCTTTTGAATATTCACAGGACTTCACTGAACTATTCGATTAAATGGAAATCTTCTGAATACTTCCTGATCAACGTTGAGTTTTGGGCGAATATCTTCACAATAATACTTGATCAACCTGAAGCCTTGAAAAATATCCAGAGGACTTAATAGAAATCTTCGATCTGCTGGAGATCTTTTAAGTACTTCCTAACCGATCTGCCATCTTGAGAGAGCCAATTGAATACTTGACCAGTTTAAGATCTTCAAATTTTCTTATCTACCTGAATTCACTAATATCTGACCAACCAGAAATCTTGAGAGACTATCTAGAGACGTTGGGCTACAAAATGGTGAGTGACAATCTGGAAGGAGCGATAAACCTAGCTCCGGTCCTCACAAGTTCCTACCTCACGCCTCCACGAGTCATATGATCACAAAAGACTGCCAGCTGAAACATGGACACAGCTGGTTGGCGTAGCCTGGTCAATGTTGTCAATCCGACAATAGCAGAGTGAGGAGGTGCGACGCGAATACTGGCGCGGTAACCATAGCACGGTGATATAGGAAATGCTTCGCCAACCCAAGCGTCAGCGTCTGACTGGCTTCCAGCGGCTGAATAAGAAATGCTCTTCCCCGGAAGCTACACCTAAGATGTCAGCCCCATCACGGTGGATAGGAGACCTTGGGCCAACCACCTACTGTCTCTGGAACCTTTACAATTGTTACAGAAACCAACAGCGAAAGACATCGAACTGACTTAACGGCAACGACTTTTAGTGATAAACAACGGACACGAATTGGATCATGGAATGTATTGACGTTAGCCCAGCAGGGTAAACTGGCAACAACTCGCCAACCAGGCGCGACGCATGAAGCTAGAAATCCTGGGACTGAATGAAGTTCGTTGGCCAAACTTTGGAGAACACAAACTGCCGTCTGGACAGGTACTACTATACTCTGGTATTCGAGGTGAAAACGCTCCCCGCCATCGTGGAGTTGGTCTCCTACTTAGCGTCCAGACCTTACCATAATCCAATGTTATGCGCCAACCGATGCTGCCGAGCTACAGGAAAAGGAGAATTTTTACAGTCATCTGAATGCCGTCGAGGATAAGGTTTCAAAGGGTGACATCAAGATCTACACTGGCAACTTCAATGCGAAGATCGGCTCCGACAACACGGACTATTAGCGTGTCATGGGACGCCATGGTCTCGGCGAAATGAGCGAGAACGGTGAGCTGTTTGCAGAATTTTGTGGCAATAACGACATGGTGATCGGGTGCTCGCTCTTCCCCGATCGGCCAGTACACAAAGTCACGTGGGTTTCCCGTGATGGCCATACCGAAAATCAGATCATCGACCACATCTGCATCAGCCGAAAATGGAGAAGGAGCCTTCTTGATGTCCGGAATAAACGCAGCGCCGACATCGCGTCTGACCATCACCTTCTAATCAGTGAAATCCACCTACGCATGGCGCGGATCCAGCGACGGGAGGAGAGACTCGGGCGGCGGTTCAACACACGCCGACTTGAAGATCCAGCGGTAAAAAGGTCTTTTGTTGAAGAACTTGAGACTCGAGCTGCGTACGTTCCAGAAGGTGGCAGCGTAGAAGAACAATGGACGGCCATCAAGAATGCCTTTGCAGAAACAAGCGAGAACAACTTGGGGGAGCTGCGCACCCAGAGGAAAGAGTGGATCACAGATGAAACCTGGTGGAAGATTGAGGAACGGCGCCGGTGGTGTAGTGGTAAGCGTGATTACCTCTCACTCCAGCAGGCCTGGTTTCAATCCCAGTCGGCGCCGCCGGGATGTTCTGAGGCATAACATCTCTGATCACGCCTTCCTTCGGATGGGAAGTAAAGCCGTTGGTCCCCGGTTCATGAGTTGATGGGTCGATAGGTAGGGTCCAGGTGTGGGAGCTGCCTTCCTGGCACGTCGGTAGCATTGGTGCTCAGCACGGAAAACAA